GGCACAGGGATGTCTGAGGGACCCCCCCTTTCCCCGAGGGCACAAATTTTTGTGCACCGGGCCTCTAGTGTTTAATTATAATTGACAAACAGTATTATGTTAGTTTCAGGTGTAAACATAGTGATTGAACACATATAACTTACAGGGTAGTCACCACAAGAAGTGGATCTGTCACCGCACATCGTCATTAGTGTCACTGACCATCTCCCCAACGCTGCATGTCACACCCCATGACTCACTGTGTAACTGGCAGCTTGTAGTCAGTCCCTTCCCCTCTCCATCTCTCCTCACCTCTCCCTTGTGGCAACTGTGCATTTATTCTCTGTATCTATGAGTATGTTTCTGTTTTGCAAGGGGTCTTATTGCAGCATCTAGAAGGGTTCAGGAATCAGGAGAAGGGCTGTGTGTAATTTAATAGAGAGCCCAGAGACGAAATATAATTTTGAAAGGCATGTTGGGGAGTCAGAGAAGACTTAGCTAAAGGAACTAAGCTCTCCTTGTCTCAGGACCCCTTACCCTTTGTTTACACAATTTGTCCTAAGGCGAGGTAGATATACACATCAAAGGGTAGGGGGTCCTATACACAATCCATTGTCAGATTGGGGAAAATTGCCTTCGGGTGTTCAGGTGTTTGGCCAGTAGGAGGCAGTAACATGTAGATTAAGATGCCCTTAGCTGTCTGGCAGCCACAGTCATCCTTCTCAGGTTGGGGAAATGCCCTCAGCCATTTCCAGATGATTCAGCCCTGCTGACATGCTGGCATTGGCTTCCGGCACTGTTTCACTTTGTTTTGTCTTTTAGATTTTACATGTAAGTGAAATCATATGGTATTTGTCTTTCTTTGTCCGATTTATGTCAGGAAACAATGTTTTACCTCCATGCTGCCTCAAATGGCAAGATTTAATTTTAAAAAATGTATTTTTTATTGATTTCAGAGAGGAAGGGAGCGGGAACGAGAGATAGAAATATCAATGATAGGGGGAATCATGGATGGGCTGCCTCCTGCACGCCCCCTGAACCCTATGGAGATTGAGCCCACAACCCGGGCATGTTCCTTTGACCAGTATTGAACCTGGGACCCTTCATTCGTAGGCCAAAGCTCTATCCACTGAGCCAAACCAGCCAGGGCAAGATTTAATTTTTTCAGGTCTGAGTAATATTCCATCGTATGTATGCACCACACCTTCTTCATCCATTCGTCTATTGATAGGCACCTAGGTTGACTGGTTTTCTTGGCGATCCTATCTAATGAAAAGGTAATATGCAAATTACTCTGTCACAAAGATGGCGGCACCCAGTCCTCTCAGCCTCGCCGGAGTCCCCCAGTCTCGGGGCGGGGAGGGGGGCGCTGAGAGTGAGCAGTGAGCGGCCTGGCGAATGCTGCCCAGCGGCCCTCCTGACCCTTTATAACAAAACAAAAACACAAATTCCTTTGAGGGGGAGGTATCTCATGTACAGAGGCCCTTAGTTCATGGCCCCTCCTTAATCCGCATAAGATCCTCCAACTTTGTTCTTCCTTTGCAATATTGTTTTAACTATTCTTGTCTCTTGCAATTTCTTAGAAATTTTCAAATCGGTTTAATTAATTCCTACAATTCCACAAAGGAAAGCTTAGAGTTGGGGACTGTTAAGGCACAGGTGGCTGAGGACCTCAGGTGGGACGCCAGAAGGAGCTGACCAGGGAGAGTCTGCCTAGTGACAACCACTCCCCCACCCCACCCTAACTCACCCCACCTTCCCTGCGGTGGCACCCAGCACCACAGAACGGAAGTAACCGCAGGAAGCCACGCAATCTGAGGCCTGCCTCTGCCTCCACAACAGCCATGCCCACAACGTGAACCAGCCTGGTCTGGTTCTACAATGGAAGCTGCCGCCAAGTTTCTTTCTATAAAGATGACAACATGGTCCTAATACGCAGTCCGCAATCCGCCTCTTAGGGCTTCTTTGCCCTAAATTTTTCTGCCCCATCTTAACAGGGACTTACCCTGGCAGCACTGGGCAAGCCACTCCCACCACAGCCTCAGGGTCTCAGCCTCAGAACCTTGCACCTGCGTCCCCATGGAGTGATCCCCCCCACACACCTGCAGCCTCAGTGTCTCAGCCTCCCAAAGCTTCTTCACCCCCGGTGAGTGATCCTGCCCCACCAGCATCCTCGGGGAGTCAGCCTCAAGACTTCCCTCATCCCCAGCAGAATGACTGGAGGAGGGGGACCAGGGCGGATATCTGGGCGACGCTGCATGGGAGATTATTTGCAAATGATTCCTCCAATAAAGGGTTAAGATACAAAATATATAAAGAATTCATACAACTCAACATGACAAGACAACCAATCCAATTTAAAAATGGGCTGAGGACCTGAATAGACATTTTTCCAAAGAAGACATACAGATGTCCAACAGATACATGAAAAGATGCTCAACATCACTAAACACCAGGGAAATGCAAATCAAAACCACCATGAGACATCACATCACACCTGTCAGAATGGCTGTTATCAAAAGACAATAACAAGTGAGGGAGAGGCTGTAGAGAAAAGGGAACCCTTGTGCACTGTTGGTGGGAATGCAAATTGGTACAGTCACTATGGATACTAATGTAAAGATTCCTCAAAAAGTTTGTGGACAGAAACTTGTGATGGGTTAGGGAGGGGAATGGGTTTTGTTTAAAATTTTCACAAACTGCAAAGGAAATGTCTGAGGTCGGGTTTCACATGGGAAGTAACTTACAACCAATTTCTGAAAACAAACTGCTACAT